GAACCCAGTGGCATAGCCATTATGCCAACTTTTTAAAGAGGGATTTTTCCCTCTTTTTTTTTTTTTTGGAGAGGATTTTGCTACAGGGCTTGTGTGCTCGCCAGAGAGAGACAGAGAGACAGAGAGACAGAAAGCGAGAAATCACCCCCAAGGGGGATGGCCATGCCGCAATCCCTTCTCCTCCATTCTCCTCTCAGGATCTTGGGCACATATGCACACGTGCCCAATGTGAGTTTAAGTCACCGGGTCTGGGACTCAAACTGCGGTCGACTACATGGGAGTCCAGCGACATAGCCATTATGCCAACTGCTGGTCCCAAGAGAGATTTTCAAAGAGAGATTTTTGCTACAGATTGTGTGTGCTCACCAGAGAGAGACAGAGAGACAGGAAGCAGAGATGACCCAAACGCACAGAGGCTCGGGAACCGGCAGGCACACAGGAGTCCCACAGGAACGCCAGCACCTCGCCAGGGCAGCGCGAAGGCACAGCTGCAGCGAGCCGCCACTCACACCCACAGGGGGCTGTACTCAGGGCAGGGAACCTCAGGTCTGGTGAGTTTGTGATGTCACTGGAACCTCTGCACATTGCCGCTGGGGACATGAAAGGCCCCTCCACCTCAGGGGCTCCTTAGGAAGTCACAGAAAGATGGCGTGACCTGGTGACCCTAGTCTAGGCACCGGCGGGGGCCAACGCAGGTATTCAAGGGAACGCAGTGTCGGCAACATCGCCGCAGCTGGAAGGCGGGGGCCGCCCACGTGCCCACCAGCCAGCCAGTGGTAAGTGGCCGGTGCCCCGCCCGAGCCACAGTGCACCGTCTAGCCACGAGCAGGCATGACACGCAGGCTGCCCCTGGCCTGGTGGTTGCAGGAGCTGGATCCACAAGGCCACTTCGGTCTGAATCTCATCTCAATGGCTTACACAATCTCTGTGTGAGCACCGCAAATCCTAAGGTGAGGGGCGGCGGCGTGGCCATGCCCTCCTGGGGGTGCCCCTTCCCTCTCTGACTCTGGGGCACACACACATGCCCCCTGGCAAAATAAGGAAATGAATCAGGAACACAGCAGCAGGCAGGGTGCACCCGGCACAGGGACAGGCCCAGCTCAGGTGTGTGAAGCCACGCAGTCTCGGTCTGAACGGACGCCACCACGGCGCAGGCGGATGGCCGGGAGGGGACAGAAGTGACTGCCAGCCAGCACAGGGCTCTAGACGGACGGGCGGGCGTCGGAGCTGGGGACGTAGGCGAGGCCGCACTGCACGCTGCAGGGCTCACGCACCCAGTCACCAAGTTTCAGAAAGCACTAGTTTTGTCAAAAGCTATGAGAACATTGCAACGTCAGCACCATCCGGCCAGTCTCGGGCCTGCTCCGGCCTCTGCTCCGGCCTCTGCTCCGGCAGGCACCTGGCACGCAGGGCCTCATGCCCACACTCAGCACTGGGGGCTCCAGCGGCTCCTGTGCTCTGCTGACTTCATCTTCGCGGGGAGCGGGGCTTGGGGCTCCAGAGGAGCCGAGGCCCTTGGTCTGGCTACCCGCCCTGCCTGGCTCAGCCTCCCGTGCCAGGGCCGCGGCTTCGGCGTGCTTCTCTGTACATAGGTTCTCGCCCACGTTCGTGTTTAGACGGTTTCCTGTCGCTCCACACGGGTGCCCCTTACTGTTTCTCGGGCACCCACGAACTCTCAGGCCGCTTTCCCCTGGATGGCCGTCCCGGGCCTTCACACACACGCCACGGAAGACCTCCCCCAGCTCGCGCTTCCCGTCAAACGCTCTTCACAACTGCACTGTTCTCATTCTGGACGGGCCTTTCACGTCTGAAAGTACTGCCGGGGGCCAGTGGCCTGGTGGGTAGGGTGCTGGGCTCCCACACAGCTGATCGCAGTTCAAGTCTTAGACCTGCCGGCTTGAAACCCAAGCCGGCACATGTGTGTGCGTACCCAAAATCCCAGGGGAGAACGGAAGGGGAGGGACTTTCCGGTGACCACCCCCTGGGGGGCACTTCTCACTTTCCCTCTGTCTCTCTCTGGTGAATGTACACAATCTATGGGAAAAAAAAGTGCCCACGTGCAGCGTCCACGTGCAGCGTCCACGTGCAGCGCCCACGGCCCCGTCAGCTCTTCTGTCACTTGTCCCCTTCTCACTCCGACCCTCCTGGAAAGCCCAGGACAGGGTCTCCTCAAGGACCTCTCAGAGCCTGTGGGACAGGCCTGGCCAGGCTGGCGGCGGGGGCTTGTCCCAGCGACCTCCATCCCACGGAGGTCACCCCGGGCCCTGGGCCGAAGCCGAGAAGCAGGTGTGCACTCGCAGGGAGCCGAGGTGGACTGGGACCAGCATCGACTGTGCCGAGTGCCTGGAGGGTGGCTGTCCTCGAGGCGCGGGATCCCTCGTCCATGGTGGCAGCTGTCTGCACCCCACAAAACGTGGCCACTGCTTCCGAGAAGTGGGTCAAGGCGTGTGCAAGGAGACGCCACCCCCGCCGGGTGCTTGGAAGCCAGCTCAGCGACGTGGTCCTTGTGCGGAGCCGGCGAAGATCGTTTTCAGCAGGGCACGACTGGGTACAGAGGTAAGCAGGCCAGATCGAAGGCCAGATTCCAGAAGGTGCTCACTTAGCCTGTCGGGACTGGTCCGAGGCGGCGTCCCGGGACCTGGGAGTCTGGCCTGCACACTCAGACCGCCGGTCAGGCCGGGGTGCCCCCGTGCAGCCCAGGGCCCTGCAGGTGCAGGTGAGCCTCTTCCCCCGGAGCGCACTCTGCCGACTTTGGTTAGGGACAGATACAGGTGTTTTCTTTAACCAGTTACTACGGGAACTATTCAAACCCACCTCTAACCCGCAAGCCTCGGCCCAGAGGCCCCACGCTTTGGGCCAGGCCACTGTGAAGACTCCCCAGGCCAACTGACGCCTCTCCTGCTCTCAGAACGAAGGGCGGACTGCTGTGTCCTGGCGGCCAGAACACGGCTGTCCTCCGAGTGGCTCCCTTGATCCCGTGCAGGATAAAGAGTGCTGGTTCCGACCTCGGAGCTGGGCTGTCTCCATCGACATGTTACAGGTGCCGGCGGAGTGGGGCCCTGCGCGAGCCCTCCAGGAGCCCTGTTACGGCGCTGGCTTCCTCACAGATCCCAGAGCCTCCGAGGCTGCGAGCCCTGGGAAGGGGAAGGGTCTGCTCAGGTCCCGGGGCAGGCGGGTCCGGCAGGTCGGGGCTGGCTGTGCAGCCTCTGCCTGGGAAGGGGAGGGGTCTGCTCAGGTCCCGGGGCGGGCGGGTCTGGCAGTTCTAGGGCCCAGCTGGTTCCTTACGGAAACTTCCACTCCCAGCTGCGTGTGCGTCAGGCTGACCTGGGGCCTCACCCCTGCTGTGCCCAGGGGAGCGATCAGCCTCATGGAAGAGACAGCCTCCAGCCTCCCGCTGTGGGCAGGGATAATCTCTCTTTGAGAAGATTTCCATCAAAAGTAGCGAGACAGAAAAAACCGCACCCCGACAGAGACTGCATTGTCTGGCTATCCCCGGGTTATCTGGCCTGGCCTCGCACTGTCTCCACCGGACAAGTCCAGACTTCGTCCCTCTCCCCCGAGAACCAGCTCTCCTGCCTTGGCCGCTGTCCCTGCGCTTGCTGGCTTCACCAGGGACAGTCTAGTGAGGCAAGTGAGACCCCGAGCAAGACGCGCTCGCGTTCCTGTGCTCGAGAGCCGCACTGCACTGCCTCCTCGCTCTTCCTTGTTCAGTATCTGCAGAGGATGGACGCACTCATGACGGGGCGGAGGGAGCTCCTCGGGGCGGCCGCACTGCCGTCCCGTCTCCGTCTCCCCGCGCCGCTGGGGTCTGGACGCGCACACCCCCGGCATGCTTTTCAGGCGTCCAGGGCTGGGATTTCAACCCTGTCTGGCCACGTGGGATCTGGTCTCCCTTGACTAGGGCCCA